TTCGTATTAGGGATGGGCATTCGATTACATTTTCAGGCTCACGTCACAAACCAGGAAGATGTTTGGAAAGATGCGATGACAACATCCACTGCGCTCTGTTCGTGGTGGTAAGTCTGACAAAATCTAGGAGAAAAATGTAGTGTTTCGTTATGTTCAGCTCACCAACAATTCCAACCATACCTCAGTTTTCTTCATTTCCGCACTGACACACAACTCCAAGTGCACTGGGTACATGTGATGGGCATTCGATAAAATTTTCTTAATCGAGCATCTGGAGAATTAACAGTCAATTATCGATTAATCATTAATGTTTTTATATTAAAATGATCATCATTATTATTACTATCTGCACTACTAATCTGCATAAATAAATTCAACTTTACAACATATAAACTGTAATCACTCTAGAGCCACATCAGTCCGTTTGACATTATAATGTGTTTAACTCTTTCCCCCATGAAGACGACATTTGACGACCCCCCCTGTTTCCTTAATGACGACTTTTGACACCTCCGCCGTATCACTAAAGACGAGATTTGACGACCTTTAGAAATGGCTCGGTTTTTCACATTTAAACAGAGACTGTGACAGGTGGGGGCCACTACAACCCACACTAGACTGACCAATAGGATTCAAGGATATGTTTTCGCAGATTTTTTCCGAAGTTAATCGAAATAGTGACGATGGTAGCTTCCGGAAAAAACACAACACGAAACTCGTGCAATGGAAAAATCGCGGCGCCGCGGCGCACAGTTTTAGAAATAATGAGGAGCAGACGTATTTTATGGATAAGTTTAGAGAAAGTGACTTTTATAGATTTCAAAGTGATGATGTTGAAGTTGATTATAAAGTGGAAAACAGCGACAGCGACGGACTTTCGGGGAGAAGATGAGAATGCTGCTGATGCGTCTGTGTGGAGTCCTGCGATATCCGAGCAAACTATCTGAGCTTTATACTCGATTATGAACCAAAATTGCCCTGAAATCTGGATGTTGCCCAGGCCAGTCCTTTAAAATATTTCAGTCTTTTTTTCCAAGATGCGATGTATAACAGAATCGCTACAGAAAAAACGCTTATGCGGAGCTCTGCACACGAGAAAATAGACAAGTGATAAATACTGGACCCCCACTGACGGGGAAGAGTTTTATTATTATATTATTATATTATAATAAGCTAAATTAGTTGAATAAGCTAAATGAGTTGAATAAATAAAATAAGTTGAATAAGCTAAATGAGTTGAATAAGTTAAATGGAAAAAAATGAATTAGGTGCACACAGGTGTACAACAGGTAAAAACAGGTGTACACTTGGCTATACTGTATCTGGTGATATGAAATCTGTTTAAATACTTTGACAAAGTATATTTTTTATTTTTTTATGAATATAGTACTCAGAACATGCAGATATCAGATGCTGAATGTAGTTTTTTGTTTTCGAGCTTGCACCTGACCAGGTAAACTCTCATTTTCAGTGAGCTGTTATACACCTGTAAATGAGTTGAATCACTTTTAAACATCCATAAATGAAGAGTTCAGAGTCTAAGGTTTTCAGAGATACAAATATGTCTGTGTTACAATTACGTTCATGAGTGTAAAAATCATTTATAATCACTCGTGGCAGTCTGTTTTCTTTTATGCAATTATGCTCTATGGGTGTAGCCCTAGTAACATATGTATGGGTTGTTCCTAGTAGGCGTCCAGGGGGGAAAGAGTTAATGCAGATTTGTGCAACTCTCACACACTTCACACACACTTCAGTACGTTGCAGACTGACAGACTGTTTCTGTCTCGCTCCTTCAGATGCAGAGAGCTACATGTACGGACCCGTTTGGTCACACTACGCACAGCAACCTACATTCGGTTTGTCGATTAAAATGAACGTAATCGATGAAATTCTTAATGATTAATTATCGATTAATCAACTCATCATGCCCATCCCTAGTTTGTACAGTGTGAGAACATGATTCGTGAGCTGTGAACTTTTAAACCCTGCGTTTTGGTCGTACAGTTTAAGCTGGGGCTGAGTGACACAGCATAATGTGATACAACACATGAACAGTGACATTAAACCGCTCCACCCTTCCTAATGCCATTCCAGTTTATGTGTTTATGAGTTTAAGATCCCACACACACTCGACTTTGTTTGACTTTGGTTTCTCTTCGCTGCAGAAACACAACTCCTCCTCAGAGATGTCAAACTAGGGACGGGACAAAGACATCAGATCTTTTAAGGAGCTGTTGTGTTTGTCTCTCCTCGATATTATATTAAATTATATAACTATACAATCAACAATTTGCACACTTTAACTTTTTATCTGTAATTGTAATAAAAGAAGCAAGCTCGTGTTAGAGCCATGCAGTTATAGGAACATAGGAAGTACAGAGCAGTGGGCGTGTACTGTGCTAAAATGGCATCATAAAACTATTGTTCAAACGTACACGAATCACTTCAAATACACCTTACAGTTGTTTCCCCTCACCATGTACTCGAACAGCTCTGAAAAGTTGATTTTGCAGGATAGGTGCACTTTAATGTTTTCAACTAATTGTTAGGAAAACTATACATATTTTTTCAGATGTGTCAAATGAATCACGAGTTTCTATTAGGGATGTAACAATATTAAAATTCCTCGATATAATAATTTCACAAATTGCACCTCACTGTTCAATATTTATTCTGATATTTTGTGGAAACTAACATGAATTAAGATTTAAGTGTTTAAATGGCCCATCTGATGCAAAATAACTCTTTTCACATTGTATCTTCTGCACATATACAAGCACAGTTTGGGTTTTGGAACATCCATTACACAATAGTTCTGAAATCTTACTGATTTCTTGGAGACGTCACAGACCAGGAGCTATGAAAGACCGACTATTGCTCCTCCCCCCGCCCGTCCTGAGAAAGCACAGGCTCCGCCCTCCAAACGTGACATAGGCGACGAGTGAGCCGCCCTTCCTCCGCTCATCTCAGGGAGGGAGGGGGAGACAGACGTGCACCCTGATAGTGGTAGAATAAACTTTTATTCATCATGGAGATACAGTGCATTCATCTGCATGTTTTGGAGCCGGAATCGGATGAGGACTTTGAGGAGCACGAAGCTCAAGCACCGCGTCCACATCAGCTGAACACTGATTGGTAAATTTTTAATAAACACTAGTAGATCAACTTATATATATATATATATATATATATATATATATATATATATATATATATATATATATATATCGTATTTTTCACTGCAGTGTAGAACAATGAGCTTATGCTGTCGCCAAGTAATTTCGACTTGCCATTGCCAAATACGCACTTTCTCCATGAGGACATGGTTACAAAAAGCGTGGTTTGAAGCGAAAAATAAAGATAAATAACGCAGAACAGCAGATCTGTATGGTGCAAACGCAGGACGGTGTGTGAGTGGGTGGAAGCGGGGTAGAGGCGGGCGGAGGTGGTGGAGCGGGGAGGGGGGGCGGGTGTGAAGCTCTTTCTGCTACGTCAAATGCATCATAGGTGTATCTGCTGCGTCATCGTTGTAGCAGCTTTAGTTCGTTGTCACGTGGGAGGGGGGCAGAAATACACTGCAATTTGTTAAAAAAAAAAAAACTACGAATCAATCTAAAAACTACTTCGCCGACAAATACAAGGCCCACACATCACTCTTAGAAGGTAGAAAGCTCTGAAAAGTTGATTTTGGAGATTTATTTCTTCATGAAGTTTGCACCGAAGGATCATGGCCTATGTAGTTCCCTGCACCATGGCAAAGCAAGACAAGTTTGTATAGCACAGTTCATACACAAAGTAATTCAAGGTGCTTTACAGAATAAGAAAGACATTAAAATCACAAAGAAGACATTATAATTAATAACTATTAATTTAAGCAAAGACACTTGTAGTTTGATATGTTTTGATGGCCTCCAGTATTATTGAGGCTTTTGATGATACAATATCATGATATTTCTGTTATTGTTACATCCCTAGTCTCTATCAAATTACAGTAAATTGTGAGATACAGGTCGATCTCCATGTGTTTTCACGTTAACCCAGATTCTTATAATTGGGTTTCGTCTAGAGTGATTTTGTGGCAGAGATCTTATTCCATCCATATTTCACACCCTTTTCCCTCTGTTTTCAGAAGTGATTCACGTTGACTGTTAACGATCCATATGGAAATCATTATTGAAAAAACCCTCCTGAAATGACGCCCATTACAAGTGTGTTTTGAAGAGCTGAACATCTGTCCAACATTTGCTCAGTGTCGCATACCTCCAAACGAGTCTCTTTTTGAGTTACCCATTACTTTTGCCACACAGCGTTAGGTTCCTCGTCTCCTTGTAAAAAAACAGACCTGGAGTTTCCTTTTTTTACACCAATCCTGCTCATTTAGGCTGAGTTCTTCTCTCAAACTGAAAATACCGTGTTCCATCTTGTAATATAATGAAGGGGTAATACAGGAGGTGCTCCACTGTGTTTTTAAACTCCATACACCCTCACTAGAATCATTTGAATAATTTGCAGCTCTGGAACTGCCAAACTTTGAAGCTACAGCTATTGTTTTAGCCTCATTCTAACGTCTTTTGGAGATTTTGGAGACTTTCTGTGGGAATCTCAACTAGACAAATAAAAGGGATAAAATATTGTAGTGTATTCTAGATTAAAGCAGTCTGATTGAGGCTAAAAATAACTTCAAAACTTGATGACTTCATGAAGTTTTTTTTACATTAATAGAAGTCCTTTTATTGCTGCTGCTGGTTCATTGACCTGTTTTTGAGTCGTTTGGTCTGCTGTGGCTTTTATTTATTGCTATTTTATGATTTTTATTTGAATGGTTTTATTGTTTTAGGACTGGTATGGTCAAATATTTAGAACTTTACCTTTGTCTTCGTTTTATGTTCATGTTTGTTTTCTGTGCAGCACTGTGGAAACGGCTTTGTTTGTAAAATGTGCTGTGTAAATAAAGTGGATTTGTATATTCATTGTTTTGTTTTTTTTTTCTTTTTCAGACCACAAATCTGGAAACACATCACTGGACACGCTGCTGGCTTTGCTTCAGGCCGAAGGAGCAAAGATCGAGGAGGACACAGAGGTGAGGATGGTTTAGGTGATCAAAATCCAGAATTTGAAATACAAAAACTAATACTAGACTAGACTAGATACTATTGGTGTAACAGTATGCAAAAATCACGGTTCGGTACGTCCCTCGGTTTTGAGGTCACGGTTCGGTTCATTTTCGGTACAGTATGGAAACAAAATGCAAAACCATTTACTTGTTTATTTGTGTGTTTATTAAACCGACAATTTGTTTTAACATTATACAAACAGAGAAATAAAATAAATGCAACGTGCTGCTTGGTAATACTTAATAAGTAGGGCTGGGCGATTATGGAGCAAAAAATATATCATGATATATTTTGTTATATCTCGATATACAATATATATCTCAATATTTGCACAGGAAAAATAACTCCCCAAAAATTACAGCAAAAACAAATATGCCAAATTCCATAATGTCTTTTTTTATTAAAGTGCAAAGAGGTAGGCAGTTCATATAGGAACATAGTGCTTCAGCCACATTTAAGATTACAAAAACCCGTGATTACATAAATAATTATTTAACTGTAAAATAAAATAAATAATATTTATTGCCTTCTTTTCATTCATAAATAAAACAACAGTGAATGAGACTCAAGTGAGGAAAATCAGGGAGGTGGGAGCGCGGACAGAGAAGACAAACAAGTGAAGCGGCAAAATCAGAATTGAATATAAGCATCGTATCGATATATATGATATGTCAGAATCCATATCGAGTTTTAAAAAAGCTCGATATATTTTTAAATCTCGAGATATTGCCCACCCCTACTAATAAGTGAAATAAAATATTCTCAATTAAGCAACAAATGTATGAAATATTATAAAAAACAAATTCCTTGTAAACAGTAAACAAAATGTTTCACACAGTAAAGTGCAGCACTAACAGTTCCAGGATGGAGTTTTACTCAGTATTCAGATTTTTGGCCAGAAAAGTGAACTTGTCCCACATGATCTGCAGTAAGTGCAGATCTGCTGCAGTTATAATGTTCTGAGCAGTTGAAAATACACTTTCACGAGTGCTGTACAAATATAATATATATATGGTATTATTATTATAAAATTACAGTCACAAGCAAGCAAGTAAGCATTAGCCAACTGTTTTTTCAATCACTCACCTCTTTGTTGAAAATCAGCAGGTTTTGGTCACAGGCTCCTCACAGTGTTTACACAGTCTTTAAACTTCACATATTACACTGTTTTCTGATTTATGTGCTAATGTTGTTTCGTCTTGACAAACAGACCTAGAGCTGTGTTTTGTTTCATTCACAGACCTTGCATATTTATTTCTTCTCCCAAGTAACTGTCAAACTTTTTTTTTGTAGGAATTTGTAGTAGTTTTTTGCAGCACTACAAAACAAAACACAGACTACAACCCCATGGATCATGACTGAATGGGTTTAGGCTGAAGTAAAAAAGTACTTACAACACTAAACTCTATTAAACAATGACACAATTCCAAGAAAAAAAGAAGTGTTTCTTTCTTGGAATTGTGTTGTGTTTACAATTTCACTTACGATTTACTGTAAATACAAGAGACAAAATGTAGAGACATTCCAGAGCTCTATATCTTTCACAACATAACACTTTATTATTTATTTTTTAAGGCTTCTACAGTGTTAGACTTTTTTAAAATCATCACTCAGATTGTTCTATATACTAACCCCTCGAACAGAAATACAATAACTTTTTTAAAGAAACTGTTCACTTGAAAACTACAGCTTCATGACATCACAAGGTGGAACAGAGCATTTTGAGGTTTGGAGATGCAGACAGACTAACAAAAAGTCACTCAAACATCTGTGAATGAAACGAAACACAACTCCAGGTCTGTTTTTGACGAGGTAACAACAAATTTTTTTTTTGTGAAATCCGATGTTTTTGTGAGGTCGTTCACATTTCCAATTAAATGCGACTTGTATGTGATCTCCAGTGTGAACATTAAATGGCCCAAATCCAAACCTGTCCCACATGTGCACTGGAAACACCATGACGTCAACCACAGTGAGCGTGCTCTGTGTTTACAGAAGTTGTCCAAACATGGACATGAGCATTGAGCACCTGGAGATTTTAAAGTTCCTCTCGTACCGGAGCCAGAACATGAACAACTTACTTGTTTTAAGGAGGAGATTCAGAAGAAGGACTAGGTTTTTGGCCGTGGCGTTTTATAGGGCAGTGGCAGCAACGTCCGTTGAAAGGAACATGTGGATGCGCAGATGTAGCCAAGAGTGCTTCGCTTTAGTGACACGGAGTTCTTTAACAATTTTCGCAGAAAAAATTCAGCGCAGAATAGTGACGTTTGTGTCTTGTTGATAATGTGTAGGTGAATGAATGCGCTTTGGCCGTTCAGACTGAAGTCTCGTCTCAAAAGATCGGATATGTATCGGTTTTAGGAGCACATATCCAAGTGGCCTGGGTCGCATTTGAAAAAATCGGATCTGTGTGGTTCAGACTGTCGTTAAAAGATCAGATACAGGTCACATAGGGGCCAAAAAATCTGATTTGGGTCACTTCAGGCTGCAGTCTGAACGTAGCCTTAAAGCTCACATGGACTTTAAATCCACTTTGTATTTTTGTTTGAGTTTTGAGTCTGTCTTTAGCCTACCAAAACATGTAATTCACAATAATTCAAATCCAGCTCCTGCCTTTTCTAACAGCGTCCATCTTTGATCTTTGTCTCTGTGCAGAACATGGCCGACTGCTTCCTGGATGGCGACATGACCCTGGACTCGTTCATCGATTCGTACCAGAGTCAGAGGAAGCTGGCGCACCTACGGCGGGTGAAGATCGAGAAGCTCCAGGAGATGGTTTTGAAGGGCCAGCGCCTCCCCCAGGCCCCCGTGCCCGCCCCCCGCTCTCAGCAGGACATCCCCTTCCAGCCCTCCACGCCCCAGATCCCAGAAGACGCCAACAACAGCTCTCCGCTCGCCCTCGCCCGGAGAAAACCCCCGCCTCCCCCCTCTCAGCCCGCACCAGTTCTGACCCAACCGCAGCAGCCGTCCGTTTTCCACACGCCGTCGCCCTCCCCGTACCCGCCCATCCCCCCTCGGACCGGCCAGCCTTTCCCGAACGTCCAGGGGTATCCTTTCTTGGCACAGTACGCCCCGGCTCTGCCCCAGCGCCCCCCGCCCAGAATGGCCCCTCAGCCCGGCTTCATCATGCAGTAAAAGCGATGCAGCTGAACTCTTCAAAGTTTTTTTTTGTTTTTTTGTTTTAAATCCCACCAAAATGAGCGTGTGTTGTATGCGCGAGGTTTTAAGGCAGGCGCCCGTCCGCTAACAATCGGCTGGTGGCGACGTAGAGATCGGGGTCGCGTTGGCAAACCGCAAAGCATTCTGGGACGAGCGGGCAGACGGAGAAGCAATAGTGGAGCAATTTAGGGTGCAAAGTTTTCAGATTTTTGAATGCGATGTTGACAGGAGACGATTGATACTTTGCAGCTGACGTCATCAACATTCCCTTGGGGTGTGATGCTTACTAAAGGCACCGCTCTGTCTGAAACTCCGTCGCTCACGTTAGATTTTAATCCGAGTTTTGTTTTAACGCAATAGTTGAGCTGATTCGTGCTGTTAAACTTTTTTTTTTGTTGAATGTCAAACTCTTAAATGGGACCATGAGCACACGTGAAAATGTGTTTAGTTAAATCCATATTGTATTTTTAAAACTTCTAAAACTTTTTTGGCAGTGTTTGCTATTGTGCTTTGCGTTACCATGGTAACTGCTGACCATTCTACCATAGATATACATGTAGACTTCCCACCCCAGCGTGATGTCACTGCAAAGTATCAATAGAATATTTTGTCATTTTGAATTCCCCGAAGTAAAATCCAAAAATTTTGAAATGTTTGAAGAGAACAGATAGAGCTCTTCACTGAGTCATAAAAAAGTAAAAAAAAAAAAAAAAAAAAAACTACAGGTGCTCTATAAGGGTCAAAAAACTGAACGTAAGCACTTACTGGAAAACGTAAAAATGTAAAAACCTTGCTCATTTTTTACATTTTCCAGTAAGGATTACAAATCCGTGCATCATTCGTTTTTCAATATAAACCAAAAATAAGAAAATGAAAAAACAAGTTTTCTTCATTATTTGTCTCCAAAACCAAAATGAAAAAACGGATAATGATTCGGCCGTTTCCAATTTACGTGACTTCTGTGACTGCGATGCCAGACTGAACCAGGACTGATCCAGGTCTGAGACCAGATCGGAACCAGACCGGGACCAGACTGAGACAGAGACCAGGCTGGGGCCAGACCGGAGGCTCAGAGCCCACGGCATGGCCGGAGCTCAAAGCTGAGGCTCGGAGTCAGAGCTCGGAGTCAGAGCTCGGAGTCAGAGCTCGGAGTCAGAGCTCGGGTCCTGCTCTGGTCCCGGTCTCGGTCTCGGTCTCGGTCCTGGACCTGGATCAGCCCTGGTTCAGTCCGTATGCAGTGCAAAAGTTCGGCATCACAGTCACAGAACGGGAAACGGGAAACGGTCATTATCCGTTTTTTCCATTTTTCATTTAAACACAAAATCGAAAACTGAAAAAACTAATCATTATCTGTTTTTTCCTTTTGGTTTTAGAGACAAATAATGAAGAATGTTTTTTCATTTTCTTATTTTTGGTTTTATATTGAAAAACGAATGATACACAGATTGTTACATTCTGTTGAGACGATTTAGTTTTTTGGTAATTGCACACTAACAATATAAAATTTGTCTGCCGTCCTATCTGAATGCAACTTAGAAATGTCTCTGTCATGATTAATAATACAAATCTATACATGTTTTTTTTATGTTTGCCTGTTCGGACCTATAGCTGTGTCCCACTTTTGTTCCACCAAATACCAATGTGCTTTTTGAACGCTAACAACGAAGTCAGTTGAGACTCTCGATTGGGATGGGGCAAGATCTCATGCCACAAGACAAAAATGCCACGAGATTAAAACTGAAAATGATCTCGTGAGATTTTTTCCTTATGTTTTTACGATTGGATTGAAAAAAAAAAAGAGCACTGGCGAGTTTTAGGAGAATGCGCATTTATTATAGCCTAAATAATGCCAAAATCTCGTCTTGTCTCGTTCTCGTAGATCCAATCTCGTGTCTCGTCTTGTGGAAATTGCATCTCGTCCCACCCCCAATTCTCGATCAGTTCTTGGTAATTTTGTACTGATTGGTGGCAGTTGTGACGCTGTCGAAACAGAACCGAGCCAGGAGGTAGCCGGTTTAATTCCCGCTCCAGTCTGGTAAAGGAACGGTGTAAAACGGACAAATTACCAAAACCAACTGATTCAAAAGCCGATTGTTGGCGTGTTTCAACCATTGAAAACATGAACGTGAGAGACTTGAGTCAGAAAATAGGATTCTCACAGCGGGATCTCTTGATTGTCGACCTGCCAACCTGCCGACCTGCCTTTTTGGAACCTGGGACCAAGCATGGAACGCGTTGGTCTAACTGGAAATTTTCTTGAACAATCGTCATTTCTACGCCATATATCCATGTATCAACACTCCTCTGGCAAACTGCGTGACTAGTTCAGACCAAAATATCGTACTGAAAAAAAATCATTATACCCATTGAATTCTTTCCATTTTAGAATGTAGTAACTTGAAAGCTTCCAAATTGCGATTTTGGAAGCTTTAATCATTGGAATTCATCTCATGCAGAAGTAAATGCTCTATTTTTGTCGGTGGGAACCTAAAAACACGAGGTCCCCCTAACATCAGATACAAGAGATAAAAAAATACAACATATTTTTGCAAAACTTTTAAAAATTATGGTTTTTATGTTGTTATTACAAGTTAATTTGACCTGATTTTTAATTTACTGGATTAGTTTTAATATCAGATTGCAACATAATCCAATAATTGCGAGGGGTGTGCCCACTGGATATGAGGAAGGTTATTATGAAATCTGTAAATGGGTTGCCAGGTTTGGACTAGTCTTTTATCTGCACTTTTTTCTATCCAGACATTGAGGTATATTGTTTTTTTAATGTTTTAAATGTTATGCCAAGTCTACACACTCTAATTTTGTGAACTGATAATTCTCTTTGACTTTTAAAGCTTTTTTAGAACTACTTGCAAGTATGTAGACTAATTTAAAGGTGCGCTGTGTAACTTTTTGGTTGAGGGTCCGTCACCTGCTTGTTTCTATGGGTATGTCACTGCTCTACCTGGAATGTTCCACAGTGTGACATTACTGTATTTTTCGGATTATAAGGCGCAATATCAGTAATGTTGAATTCTCTCGTCTGTTTTCATACATAAGGCGCATTAGGCGAAACAGAACAGATAAGATAAACTTTACTCAGCTCATTCACAAGAACTCAACACTGTCCAGTTGTGACACATAAATACAAAACAATACACTCGCTTTTTCAGTTCATTCCTCTTCCACAAATCCATCAAACTCTTCATCTTCAGTTTAACAGTTGGGCAATTTCAGCCTTATCCCTCTCGTCATGATCCGGGTCGGCCTCTTCGTGAAAGCTCGGACGACACTTGAGACTGATCCCTTAGCCCAGGCGTCTCCTCTGTCTTGGTGAATGTGTGTTACTCCGCGAGGCTCCTGACTACAGTCGCTGTAACGCTCCAGCAATCCATCAAGGCTTCGTAGTTTACCAAAGTCGTACTGAAACATTTTAACTGATTTTTGAGCGCCATGTACTACATAAAATCGGTTCGAGGTCAGTAAGCACAACCGGAATTAATACATGAGCCACACTGTTAAGTTTTGAGAAAATTAAAGGATTTAAAGTGCGCCTTATAGTTCGTAAAATACGGTAAACAGCTCTACCTTACATTTATTTAATTACAAGTGGTTTTATAGGTGAAAAACAGACATTCTGACTGTGAGCAGGGTCGCCTCTCCACAGATCTTACCTGGATATGTCATTACTCTGCCTGGAATGTTCCACAGTATGACATTTAACAGCTCTACTTTACATTTATTCGATTACAGGTGGTTTTATAGCTCAAAACCACCTAAAAAAAAACATTCTGACTGTGAGCAGGGTCGCCTCTCCACAGATCTGACCTGTAACTTGGGCTGGTTTGGTCTCCATGGAAATAGAAAGGTTTAATAACGTACTGTGAAACATTCAGGACAAAGCAACAACATCTCCATGGAGAAAAGCATTTGACGGACGCACCACTACAAAAGTTACACAATGCAGCTTTAAATTGAAAACGAAGGGAGTGGGTTAATGCGCACTGTTGTTGTTGTTTCCCTGGGCAAGACACCAGAATGTAAGGGCATCTGGTGTAAAAACAGACCATTTCACTAACTCCGTGTGACGTCGGATTACAAAATGATCAGTGGGTAGATCTGGCATTTTCTTTTCGGTGTCTGGTGTATATAGTTTTCCTTTGTAACGCAATTTTTAAATGTATATGCAAGTCAATGAGACCTGAATTACTGTGCAGTTTAGATGAACATTTCCGGTTTTAACTCCAGGCAAAACTGCATCTATGCTGTGATGTTTAGTTTGTATTATAATTTCACACGGTACATAGGTATATTTAATGTCAGCATTATTTTATTAGACTATATTGTACTAATGTTTTTAATTTAAATACACAAAATAGACTGATTTGAAAATACAGGGAGCGCGCTTTCAAGATGGCGGACTGGTAAGGAGCATGGAGCTATAATCAAAACTGGATAAGGTGTTCCCGCTCTGTCCCGCTCGAGACAGACTAGTGGCCGCTCCAGGTACTGCGGCCTCCGGGAGCTTGGTCCCAGAAAAATCGTCTCTGTTCACGCTCACGTCACAAACCAGGAAGACGTTTGGAAACATGCGATGACGACTTCCGCTGGGCTCTGTTCGCGGTGGTAAGTCTGACAAAATCTAGGAGAAAAATTAGAAAAAAAAATGTCCCAGTCATTGTAGCGTTCCAGTCCAATGAGATTCATTTGGTCTTCCGATATTTTATGTTATTAGGTTCTTTTTTCAGACCTAGAGTTTCGTTTCATACCTGCAACATCACGTGACCACTCTGAGGAATAGTGCTAGTGAGCAGTCGAAACTGTCAGGTATGAAACAAAACTCTAGGTCTGAAAAAAGAAACTAATAACATATTATTGTGTTCCGTTATGTTCAGCTCATCAACAGTTCCAACCATACCTTAGTTTTCTTCATTTCCGCACTGACTCACAACTGGGTGCACTGGGTATTAGGGATGGGCATTTGATAAAATTTTCTTAATGGATCATCGGGAGAATTAACGTTTGATTATCGATTAAATATTAACTTTTTCATGTTTTTGGAGTCCTGGCAAAGCGTTTTCCCACTGGACACCGATATAAAAGAATGAGGACTTCGCACATCAGTTACTTGAGATGGGTGCGTTGGAGGAGAGGGAGCAGCCCAAGAACATGGAGAAAAATCCGGCACACCTTCTTACTTGCAAATTGTGAGATTTATTATCACAAACCGTGCAACGTTTCGGCACTAGGCCTTAGTCAGGAAAACCACTAGGCCTATTTGTCCTAATAAATCTCACAATTTTCAAGTAAGACGGTGTGCAGGATTTTTCTCCATCCCACTGGACACTAAAACATATGTGCTGCGTTGTACACTGTGCACATGGACTCCCACTTATCCCGACCGGAACAGAAAGCGTGAAATTTCTTGTACAAGTCATCGTTAAATACACATTTGCGTTTCGACACTTTGCAGACTGACCAACTGTTTGTGTCTCGCTCCTTCTGAGTGCAGAGAGACACATGTACAGACCCTGTTTGGTCACGCTACACACAGCAACCTACATTCGGTTTGTCGATTAAAATGAACGTAATCGATGAAATTCTTAATGATTAATTATTGATTAATCAACTAATCATGCCCATCCCTAGTTTGTACAGTGTGAGAACATGATTCGTGAGCTGTGAACTTTTAAACCCTGCGTTTTGGTCGTACAGTTTAAGCTGGGGCTGAGTGACACAGCATAATGTGATACAACACATGAACAGTGACATTAAACCGCTCCACCCTTCCTAATGCCATTCCAGTTTATGTGTTTATGAGTTTAAGATCCCACACACACTCGGCTTTGTTTGACTTTGGTTTCTCTTCGCTGCAGAAACACGACTCCTCCTCAGAGATGTCAAACTAGGGACGGGACAAAGACATCAGATCTTTTAAGGAGCTGTTGTGTTTGTCTCTCCTCGATATTATATTAAATTATATAACTATATAATCAGTCTTATGTTATAATTTGCATTTTCATCATTAAATACGTATTTGCGTTTCGGCACGTTGCAGACTGACCAACTGTTTGTGTCTCGCTCAGAGAGCTACATGTCCGGACCCTCCTTTGGTCTCCCTACGCTACACACAGCAACCTACATTCAGTTTGTCGATTAAAAATGAAAGTAATCGATGAAATTCTTAATGATGAATTATCGATTAATCGACTAATCATGCCCATCCCTACTGCGTACATGTGATTAGAAGAGATGAGGTGCCAAATTCCAGATGATTCCAAACGGCACAAACGTCTGCAGTCTTTATTTTACCGCTGATCACATTTACTTCAGTGGGTTTGATCACAGTCGGTCGAAGCCCAGTGTCGGGAACTACACCGGGAGTCGTCATCGTGTGTTTCCAAACATCTTCCTCGTTTGTGATGTAAGTGTGATGAGAGCCTATCCTCCCACAGAGTGCAAAAAACGCATTTCTTGGGAATTCAAACTGCCCGTTTTTGACTGACGGGGCATCCAGTTTTCACAAAGGTCCGATTTTGTAGGATTTTCTGTTTTCACAACATAAACATATTGAGGAAGTGACGCAGAAGAGGAAATAGTTTTTGGGCCCATGAGCCTTTGAGCTCAGACCACTGAAAACAACATGATGCCGTCTTGGGTTCACCTTCAGATTTGATTATCGTTCTGTGGTGAGGAGGTGATCACTGCGAGTCTTGTACTAGAAAGCCATGAATGTTCGGTTCAATAAAATAAATGATGAAACTAGTCTTGTTTTGAAGCTCTTTGGTTTTCTTGTCTTTATTTTACTACTCACTTTGTCATTTGTCGATTGGCAGTGGTGCTAATGAAACACAAAAGTTAAAGTACAATATTTGAGTAAAGTTATAATACAGTATATAATATAATACAATACAGTTATTTATTTTTATTTATTTATTTATCTATTTATTGAATAGGGACAGTGCATATTCATGAACGTCTACAACACTGCAGTGTAAATATGACTGATGATTATAGCAAGAATGCTCATTTCCATCTGTCGTCCCTCGGCAGGTAACACCACAAATTTAACAGAAAAAACAAAAACAAGTGACAGATATACAATAAAAATGTCCACAAGTCTGGTTTTCCTTTAGCAACTGTTTCAAGTAGGACTTGAAAGTGACAAGTGTTGGAGTTTCTCTTATTGATAGTGGCAGACTGTTCCAGAATTTAGTGCCTCTGACTGAGACACACATTGTCCGAATGTGGTGCGTCTGCGTCAGTGTTGGGAAGGTGACTTTTAAAATGTATTCCCCTATAGATTACAGATTACATACCCCAAAATGTAGTTTGTAAAGTAATCCATTAAATTACTTAAAGTGAGTAATGTAATCTGAATACTTTGGATTACTTGATATTGTCGTGCTTTTTAAAATGACATGAATGTAGAAACCACATCCTAATGTTTGTTCTCTGGCTGATGTTAACTGATTAGCTGATGTTAATTTTAGGTATCTGTACTTTACTGTGTAAATCTTTATTGGGAGTCCATCACATGTTCCACAGTGTGACATTAAACACTTCTACTTTACATTTATTCAATTACAGGTGGTTTTAGAGCTCCAAAATACCTCGAAAATATTGTTAATTTTCTGTGGTGTTTATCATAGCAGCATCTCCAGTGTCTCTGTACGTGGCCCCTCCCACCAGAGCAGCACAAATGAAGACTTGTCTCTTTCCAAACGCTCTTAAAGGACGATCGTTTTGACTGTTGACCGTGACACCCTCATCAGAAAAATGTCCAACATGAGAAAAGTGGAGCCGAGTGCAGGATTTTACAAGAAAAATTGACTTATTCCTGTTTGCAAACAAGTTAATGTTAAAACTTTGTGTTGAAATTGTATTTTTCTTAAAGTTTCAGGTTGTTCATAATATTATAATATTTTGTAAAAGAAAGAGTTCATCAATTAAAGATTTCTGTAATAGATTTGTGTTTCTCTGCACAAATATTTGAACTTATTGTTATTTTTGGGGTTTATATGTCATGAGTTTTCTGATCCGAACACTTTGGGATCAAAGTAGGTTGGATACGGATCCTGGACCAAAATGAGTTTGACAGAACTGGTTTAAACATTTTCATATTTGGGCATTTCTTGAGCTCATCACTGAGTTCCAGATTTTGACCCTCAAAACGAAACACAAAAACTTTTCCTTACTGTTCGGACTCTGGCCATTTTAAAGAAATGCATTCCCTTTAAAGTAAAAGTACTTTATCTTTCAATAAAATGTTTCTGAATTTTGCCTTGTACATTATTTTTGTGGTCTGGGTGATTATCAGATCCTTCACTTTTAAAATGTCTGAAGTGATAAATCGCTGCTTGGTGTGCTCATAAAACCTAGAGTTATGAATTATTTGTCATGCTCTTTTCAAGGCTCTGAGTGAGTGGCAGCTGGATTTATGTCATCATGGTGAGACCAAGTTACAGGTCAGATCTGTGGAGAGGCGACCCCGCTCACAGTCACAATGTCTGTTTTGAGCTGTAAAACCATCTGTAATTGAGTTAATGTAAAGACAAAAGTAAAGCTGTTTAATGTCACACTGTGGAACATTCCATGCAGAGCAATGGCATATCCATAGAAACAAATGAAACAGAAAACACCAAAGTTCTTTTAGAGGTGCAAATGCAAGGAACAACCATTTAAAAGTGAAAAAATGCATAGCACAGTTAGATGACCAATGTCCAAAAGCTTTTTTTCTTTTTGTGTAACGTTTTGGCAAAAATCCTTCGTCAGATCAGCCCTCTGAGTGTGCTGTGCATTTTAAACTTTTAAATATCCATAGAAACAAGCAGGTGATGGATAGTCAGGCTGGTGCCACCTAGGCTGCGTTCAGACTGCAGCCTGAAGTGACCCAAATCCGATTTTTTGACCTGTATGTGACCTGTATCTGATCTTTTAATGACAGTCTGAACCACACAGATCTGTTTTTTTTTTTTTTTTCAAATGTGACCCAGGACACTTGGATATGTGCTCCTAAAAGCGATACATATCTGATCTTTTGACATGCGACTTCAGTCTGACCAGCCAAAGCGCTTTCATCCACCTACACGTTATCAACAAGACACAAACGTCACTATTCTGCGCTGAAGTAGGTGAAAATTGTTAATGAACTCCGTGTCACTGAAGTGAAGCACATCAATCAATCAATCATCAATCAAACTTTATTTATAAAGCGCTTTTCATACAAAAACGTAACACAAAGTGCTTTACAGTGATTAAAAACAATCCCCGCAAAACATCACCACTCACCACTCTTGGTTCCGTCTCCACATCCACACGTTCCTTTCAACAGACTGTCCCACAAAACACCACGACCAAAAACCTCGTCCTTCTCCTTCTCAATCTCCTCCTTAAAACAAGTAAGTTGTTCATGTTCTGGCTCCGGTACGAGAGGAACTTTAAAATCTCCAGGTGCTCGATGCTGCGTCCATGTTTGGACAACTTCCATAAACACAGAGCACGCTCGCTGCGGTTGACGTCGTTGTGTCTCCAGTGTCACATGCGGGACACTTTTGGGCTGTTTAATGTTCACACTGGAGTCACATACAAGTCACATTTAATTGGAAATGTGAACGACCTCGCAAAAACATCGGATTTCACCAAAAAAATCGGAATTGAGCGTTAAGCCCTGCAGTCTGAAACATAGCCCTAGTGCCTCCACTCTATTTAATTTCTCTCCAGCAACTAGGTCAGCAAACAGAAAACACTAGACCAGGGGTGTCCAAACTTTTTTCATCAAGGGCCACATATGTAAACACAGATGAAGCAGAGGGCCGATTGAGGGCCATAGACTGATGCTCAATACAGTAAAGTGAATTGAAATATTTGCCTTTATTCTTGCTAAGATCCTTAAAACCACACACTGAATATCAAATATTGGCTTTATCACAGTAGATTTTCAAAAACTTGCAGTAAAAAGTACATTTTTAATTGATGCAAGGTAATATGGGCTAATTCACCTGGAAGCCTGAGGGCCAAGAAAAATTTGTCTGAGGGCTGCGTTTGGTCCACGGGCCATAGTGTGGACATGCCTGATCTAGACGGTTTGCAAGAACCCCGGAAGTTGTAGATCATACACCGACCAATCAGAGAAGAGCTGAACCATCCTGAGTTGTGAGAGCAGACTGCACGCGCCAGGGGTCTCCAACCTTTTTTTTTTTTTCCCGGCGAGCAACTTTTACAAAATGAAAATGTCAGAGAGCTTCTAGTTTTATCAGTCACAAGAAATTTAGTAGATATAAGGGCCACTGCGAGCCTTAGATGAGGTACAGTTAAATGTCTGTAAAACATAAAGCATTCTCAAGATAGGCACTAAATGACACATGTACAATAGTAAAAGGCATTTAATTAACCAAATTTTACTTATTCAGCACAATACGTGTAAGTCAAAAATCCCTTGACGAGCTACTTAGAAGAGGGTGGAGACCTACTGGTAGGTCCCGAGCTACAGGTTGGAGACCCCTGGCAGACGCTCTCCTCCTTTGAACTTCCTTTGTCAAATACAAACTTCACATTTTTTATTGCACCTTTACTTCACAGGTTCACCTGCAGGAACGACAGTGATCGTTGACATGTTCACTCTCTGCTTTGTTTGCAGTTGTGCCATCAGTTACTTGTGACACCACTGAGCATTCCGGTGCATTCCATACATCTCGACCAAATAGCAGCGATTGGTGAAATAAAAAACCCGTCTACCGTCAAGCAAACGAATCCTAATGCTGCGAGGTCAGACGGTTTCCATGAAGTGAAATCATCTGATGAATCGGGCTTGGTGACATACCCCCCAAAAAGTCACACATTGCACCTTTAAAAGCAAAAGAAAAATACAAGGTGAACATTAACAGAGATAAAACTGAAATCAAGACAAATCGTGATGATGATGATGACGCAACTGACCCATTTACAACTCCATCCTCAAACCCAAACCAAAACACCTGAGCTAGTGCAAAGGACTGAACTAAAACAATAACAGATCCTCTTGACTGTAAACAGGTTTCAGTTCACCAGCTCGTCCCTTTTGATGACACACGGCTGACTCAGCACATAATGAAGCTTTTTGTTTGTGTGAGAAGAGAAACTAACTCCAATCAAGTTTAACTGGTGCTGTAAAGAACATGACATGCTGAGTAATAAAATGTGTAATATTCAAACACGTGCGAGCAGGATTCAAACTCCAGACCTCAGAGCTCAGGTCGAGTGTTGAACCTGCCGCCCCATCAGCTCAAAGAGAACACCTCTGACAAACACATCAAGAAGAATGAAGCTCAAGAGTTAGTGTTGATTACGAGGGAGAAGGTTTCAGGTTAAAATAGCTATAGTTACATCATTGTGTAGAAATGTAAGTAAGAGACACATTTTGTTATTTGTATACTGCTCTAGTAAAGTATCCAGTAGGGGGAGCCCTTTCGTTGAAGTGAATGAAAAAAAAAGTTAATTGTTCAAAAATTGTGAGGGTGACATAATTGAAAAGTAATAACAAGAAAGAGGAAATAACTATAAGAAACAACAACAAACTGTGGCTTGTTACGTCCAGACAATAAATGTTACAGTTATACTAGTTTTCTTTGTATTTTTTTCCCCTTTCTTTTCCTCCACTATTTTCAGCCCCAACTTATGTTATAATATTAGTTTGAAGTATCCATACTGTACTGTACTGACCTCGGACTAAATGTAGAGACTCCTGTACAGATTATAAAATGATGGTCCACTTCAAACTATTTGCACCTATGACCCAAT